AGCGGGGAGCCTGCTTCTCCCTCTGCCTCTACCTGCTGCACCCTCTGCTTGTGCTCTCTGTCAAATAAATAAATAAAATCTTTAAAAAATAAATAAATAAAATGAACCCTGGAAATCTTGCCTCAGTCCACTGGTATGGTCTGAAAGTTATCTAAAGTGATGTCAGCTCAGAAGCCTGAACCCCGAAGTCTATTCTTTGGAGTGGCAATCATGTAAGGTACCTGGTATGGTCCCTCTCCATGAGGCTCTGAGATTGTTCTTTGTTGAAGATGCAAATTCTGGCCTGTAGTTTACAGTAGAACCTTCAGGTAAGCTTTAGAGTAAAACAAGAACATTAAGAGATTTAATGGCTGTGGTCAATTTATTACTATTGCCAATTCCATATATTGCCAATCCTCAGTAGAGAGAGGCAAAACTCTATATTGGAGTACAGTATATAATTATTTCATCAGAGTTTTGATGAGGGTTACCCCTGAAGGTAAAACAGTATTATACACAGAAAGGGCACTGACAAATCACCAGGGACTTCCCATAAAGCATACACTTTCTAAAATGTTTATATTAATAATATTTTACCAGAAAATCCTAATTTAGGGATGGCTGTGTCCCTTCTGACCTAACAACTCTTCCCATGCAACTTTACAGTAGGAACACATAAACAAACCTAGTTATTTCCAGTATCTCTCTTTATAAGGAGACAGAGCAAATCTTTGTGATTCCAAAGGCCCTCTGAGAAATCTTAGTGGTTTTACACATAAAAGTTTTTACTTTTAGTTTTAAAATATATCCTGAAAATTTTATTTGTTTGAAATTCAGGAACTGATTTTGGGAAGGCAAAACCAAAGAGTTGTCAGAAGAGATCTGTGCACTTGACTGGATCATGAGTGACTAGGAAACAATACTTACCTATTTAATCAAGGCACAGCAGCCCCCCCCCCATTCACAGGGAATGCATTCCAAGACCCCCAAGTGGATGCCTGAAACTGCAGGTAGTACCAAACCTTATATATACTGTTTTTCATACCCATACACACATATGATAAAGTTTAATTTATAAATTAGGCACAATAAGAGATTAACAATCATAACTAATAAAATATAATTATAATAATATACTGTAATAAAAGTTATATGAATGTGGTCTCTCTCTCTCTTTCAAAATATCATATTATACTGTACCCACACTTGTGATATGAGATGATAAAATACCTATGTGATAGGATGAAGCAAGGTGACTGATCTAGGCATTTTGATGTAGTGCATTAAGCTACTATTTTTTTTTAAAGATTTTATTTATTTATTTGAGAGAGAGAGAATGAGAGACAGAGAGCATGAGAGGGAAGAGGGTCAGAGGGAGAAGCAGAACCCCCGCTGAGCAGGGAGCCCGATGTGGGACTCGATCCCGGGACTCCAGGATCATGGCCTGAGCTGAAGGCAGTCGCTTAACCAACTGAGCCACCCAGGCGCCCCGTGCATTAAGCTACTATTGACTTTCTGATGATAAGACAGAAGTCAGGAGGAGGATCTTCTGTTTCTGCACTGCAGATTGAGTGGGGTAACTGAAATCCCGGAAAGAGAAACAGCTAATAAGGGGGCTGGGGGGGGGTGTTCCTGTACAAATAAAGCATTTGAAAAGAAACACAAAAGCTAACAATATTGTTTAAGTGAAGAGCCTATATTCTATGGGGTTTTTCCCCCTTAAATAATCAGGTACATAATAAAGGCAACTTAAATCATAGAAAATTATTCTTGTGAGACACAGAATCTCTGCTACCTAGGCATATTGCATGTAAAGAACAACCTTTTGTATTGTAGGTAGAATTAATTACTAAATAAAGAAAGCAGGACCATCTAAATTGAGGGGGTACTGTAAACATTTGAATATATTTCATAGCTGCATTTCAGACTCAGGTATTATAAGCCAAAGCAAATAAAATTCACTTTCTAAGTTCTGTCATTTTTTTATACTTTCATGTTCTTTTAGATAATCTGTGAGATCAAAATGATTTTCATAACAATACTGAGATATTATCTTTTTGACTCTCTTCCTCATGATTAGACAGTGGAATTTTCCAGAGGCTATGTGATGTGTGAAATGCAGTGGATTAAATGCAAAAGTAGATACAAATATCTGGCTTTCTTCTGTTACCCCAGATAGTAAACAATGCTATTCCTTCCATGAAAATATTTGTTTGGGAAAAAAAGCTATTTTCATAAAAAGTAGGTCACTTACGTTAACGTGCAATGTGGTCATCATTGCTACTTTCCAATGAATCAATAAATATTTTAAAATTTTCTCTTTTATCTTGAAGATGGTAAATATCAACAGTTTAACATACATTATAATCCACATAAACAAAAGCTCTTCGAGGTTCTTGGTAATTTTTGATAGTATAAAAGGGTCTGAAAACGAAAAAGCTACTTTAGACAAAAACTATTCTTTTTCTTTGAAAAAAGAAAGCACATATTGTAATTGTCACTGTTACTCTTTGAAGAGCCTCAACTACCATATTAATTATAACTTTATTTTATTTTTTTAATTATAACTTTATTTTTTTTAAAGATTTTATTTATTTATTCATGAGAGAGAGAGAGAGAGAGAGAGGCAGAGGGAGAAGCAGGCTCCCAAGGAGCACGGAGCCTGATGCGGGACCCGATCCCAGGACTCTGGGATCATGACCTGAGCTGAAGGCAGACGCTTAACCATCTGAGCCACCCAGGCGCCCTAATTATAACTTTAGATCAAAGTGACTAACTTCTATTTTAAAGAGAAAAGTGAAGGACGGAAAACAACTCTATGGCATATACAAACATTTTTACAGACTAGCAGGGCTTAAGAATACACATGACAAAACTTCCCATAGCCATACAAATCCTTTTTATAACTTCCTAAAGTGGCAAAAGTGAATACATTATACAACTCCAAGATATAGCTTCCCTATAGCATTTCTTTTTTTTTTTTAAGATTTTATTTATTTGACAGAGAGAGAGACAGTGAGAGAGGGAACACAAGCAGGGGGAGTGGGAGAGGGAGAAGCAGGCTTCCCGCTGAGCAGGGAGCCCTATGCGGGGCTCAATCCCAGGACCCTGGGATCATGACCTGAGTCGAAGGCAGACGCTTAACGACCGAGCCACCCAGGCGCCCTCCCTATAGCATTTCAAATTAAGATGCAAAATATATAAAACATCATATTGGAATTATGCTTAGTCTAAACCAATGTTTCAATATTCTGTTTTACTTCGAAAGCATCTAGTGGTGCAATGATTATGCATCCATTAACTCAATTTAATGTCAGTCTACGATTTTAAGTTTTTTAAAGATCCTGAAAATTATCTTCAAGCTGGCATACTACAAAGCATATTTGCAGTTAAAGTTTGTCAGAATACTGATTTAATGTAGTTGAAAACATTTACAATTTTCGTAACTATAAACATTTTTGTAGGTAATGTTAACTTATTTGATCAGTAAGCCTGTGTAAGTTTAGGAAAAACACACTTAAGTAAAAAGACTTACTTGCCAAAATTTTACATTAATTATGTAATCTTGGGTCCTTAAAACATTTCTGGATCAGTTTCTGCAAGAAGATGCTTTACTAAAGTCCAGCACATTTAAAATATTAGAAATTCAAGTTTCTGATTTTCTGGGAATTTAAGAATATTCAGTTTATATGTGTGCTTATTTTCTCTCTCTCTGCTAATCAGAACAGTGCTTCTTTAATATCTTCTAGATATAGGAAAAGATTTCACAGACACAACAAGAGGTAAAGGTCTTTCTGAATTACAGAGTATTTTGGAATATTTTCTCTTCATATTTCAATAAATATTCATAGTTTATTCTTGTTGGGCAGAAAATTGGGATTATGCTTATGTTTTATTATTTAACCATGATCTTTCTACATTTATTATGAGACTGTAGTTTGTTTCACCGTATCATTAATTCATGAAAATCGTTATCAAGAAAGGCATAGCAGCATATCACTCCTCAAAAAGACAATTACCCAAGCTACAAGATTTAAAGGAACAGTCCAGTAGAAATACGCCTTAAGAGGTTTTTTTTCAGCTTATGTTCTAGGCCTAATTCACCTCTAATCCTTTTCCTCTTTATTTTCTTCTCACAGCTTCCTTTCTGTATATAATCAGGCAGGGGAAAACACAAATATGAACTAAAGTGAGATTTTAAGTAGGAAATACAGAAAATATTAGAATGAAATAAAGCATCTTAGTAATGGTGGTAGGAGAAAAAAAGGGAGTCTTAAGAAATTACCTCCTGGGTACTTGACTACTTCAGTGCAATGTATCTGTGGTGTTTATTCATGCTAATGTATACATTTCATCATAATTTAAATTTATCATAATTTTACATTTTAAAGGGCTCAATGGATGAGTTCAATGAATTATAGATGCAGCCTTCAGGCCCTAGTGCCTCTATTTTACATACAATGCTTGCTAGTGAAGGCAATCGACTCTTTGCAGCTTCCAAGAGACCCGGTAGGGCTCTGGCTTCCTGATAACTAGTTTGAAGAGCCTATGCTAATGAGTGATCTTGAAAAGGCCCCCTTTTTTTCCCACAGGCTCTCAACAGACTTGAGGTAAAACCATAGCTCAAACGAATATTGGCAAACAGGGTAGCAAATAGAGTCCCAAACTCCTGTATCATTCAAAAGATGTGTGGTACCCAAGCAATAACGCCAGCGCAGCGCTTAGGTGTGAGGTTTCACCATTATTTTCTAAATACCTTTGGAAAAGAGTAAATCTGTCAAGTCCCACCTTCCTATTGTGACGGCCCGGTGAACTCATACACACATCACGTTTCTGGCACGTAGACCATTTGCACCCTTCGGCTCCACCCCCGCCCCCCGCGCGCCACACCCCCCGGTTCCCACCGCCCTCTGGCGCCCTGGTCGACTTCCGCCATCCCCACCAAGCGCGGCCGCTGCAGCCCACGTGGCCTGCGCTACGTCACATCCGGCCCTTGCGATTCGGGGCTGGGAACCCGCGCGATGAAGTGCGTATTTGTTACTGTAGGGACCACCAGCTTTGACGACCTCATTGCGTGTGTCTCGGCGCACGACACTCTGCAAGTGAGTGGGGGAGGCGGGCGTGCGGGCGCGTGGCGGCTTCGTTCGCCGCTCGCCGCCGCTAGCCTTACCACTAGCCTCGGTAACCTTGCCTGACTGCAGCGCTCGGGAAGAACCCCCCACAGCTCTACCTCAGGTGCCGCCGCCCCTTTGCTGGCTCCTCCCCGCGCTCGGCTGGGCCCTCCTCCTGCTCCCCCTCTCCTTGGCGTCCTCCGCCTCCTCTTCCCGCTTCCCCGCCGCCCTCTGGGCCGCTCCTCCCCATCTTTTCTCCGGCTCCTCCTTTCCCCGGCTTTTCCCTTCCGACTCTCCGCCTCCGCCTCTCCTTCCTCGTGCTTCGCCCCTCCTTCCCGCTGCTCCGCCTCTCCGAGTGGGGCTCCTCGGCCTGGGCCAGCCTCCAGCCGCTCCTCAGGCCCACTCGGGGTCGCGTGGTCGGCGTCAGGCGCCTCGGCGAGCTCGGCCTGGCCCGGCTCGGCCCGGCTCGGCCCGGCCCGGCCCGGCCCGGCTCGGGCCGGCCCGGCCCGGCCCGGCTCGGCTCGGCTCGGCTCGGCTCGATCCGGCAGGTCCCACTCGGCGCGCCGTCCCCGCCCTGCCCCCGCTGCGCTCGGGCGAGCCCGCGCCTCGCGGTCCCATCAGGCGCCTTCGAGGCGGGCGTCCTCCGGCGGCGGCTGTTGCGGCGGCTCCTCGGGGCCGGTGGTTCGCGCAGCTTCAGCCCTGAGGCGGATTGGAGCCGTTTCTTCGTCTCCTCTAGTTTTTGACGCCTTCCTCAGGGTCTCGCCTGGTCTTCTGCCTGTGGCGTGGCCGGTCCTTTCAACGGCTTGGTGAGCAGGGTCGCATAGATCTTACCGATAGGACTTGTGAGGTACCTTGCCGGGGCCCGGTACAGGGGCAAAGCGTCGTTCTGGAAAAGTAAAATCGGCCGCAGGTAGATTTTGCGGCGCGCGCTGCGGTCTGAACACCGACTTTAGGGTTTGTTGTTTTTTACAGTACCCTGTTTAAAAGTCCCGCTTTTTTTTTCTTTTTTTTTTTCCTTCCCTTTTCAGATCATCAAGAGCCTGGGCTACAACCGACTTGTCCTTCAGATAGGTAGAGGAAAGGTGGTACCTGAACCATTCAGTACTGAGTCATTTGCTCTGGATGTTTACAGGTACAAGGAGTCATTGAAAGAAGATCTTCAGAAAGCAGATCTTGTTATTAGTCACGCAGGTAAAGTGCCTTAGAATACCACAGTTGGGGTTTTGGTTGTAAGAACAGAAACTTGAATTTTTTTGAGGTAAAGTAAAATCACTAGAGTAACGCACTGTAGCCCTTTTGAGTATATTACTTATTTGGATATACCTGTTGAGAACATTATTAGAGAATTTATTATTTCTGGGTGGTACAAGTAAATTAACAACATAGACTAAAGAAAGAAACTCCAAACACGGGCAAAATAATTTACCCAACGTCGTGCGTAAAGAGTTATCAAATTTGAAATTAGTATTTGGGCTTAGATTTGCAGGAATGTTCAGCTGGCTTATTGGTTGGATTGGACATGGAGAAATTGGCTTTGAAAGTTTTTTTTTATATTATAAATGGGGGTATGAAATGAATGCAGTCAAAAATATTTTTTAACCACATGTGTAAATCATTGCCTGCTCTTCAAAAACCATCCTGATCTAGTTAGACTGCCAGTACCGTCGCAAGAACTGTTTTTGGGGAGCATTGCAGTTTCGATTGCTGGATAAGTGAGGGAAGAAGCTTCTTAGTTCTTAAGAAGTCTAGTTTGAAGGGAGCAAAGTTACTAGAAGTAAACATTACCAACAGATTAGTGATTAGAAATGTATAGGTTAATAGTTAATAGCTCTTGGTACCGTTCTGTGTGTGTTGTGTATATAAGTCATTGAATCCTCCCAGACCTATGAGCTACGTATTATTAGTATTCCCATTTTTACAGATGAAGAAACAGACACAGATTAACTGTACTTCTCCAGTCAAGTTAGTAGATAAAAGTCTTGGTGTTAGAGTCTGTCCTACCTACTACTCTAAAGTAGTCAACCCAAAAAGGTTTGTCTACTTATCAGTCTCCTCACTCCCATTTACTTTTTAATTTTTTATTAACTTATTTTTAAGGTTTTATTTATTTGAGACAGCACGAGCCGCGGAGAGGGGTAGAGGGAGAAGCAGACTTCCCCACCCAGCAGGGAGCCTGATGCCAGGCTCCATCCCAGGACCCCGAGATCATGACCTTGAGCCCAAGGCAGACTTTTCACTGACTGAGTCGCTCAGGCGCCCTTCTCACTTCCATTTAAAATACCTAAACGATTTTAGATTTCAGAGCTGAATTGACCCAAATATTGTATATATGCACATTTATGGAGATTTATTCTTGACATTTTGGGGATGGTACCTCACAAACAGACTTATAAGGATGGTCAGGGTTTTTCTTTTTGGTGTCTTGCTTTTTCCACCTGTGTTTGAATAGAAGTGCAGTACGGTTTCATGTATAGTATGGTGAACTTAAATCTTAATTGAATTCAAGGCTCATGCCCAGGGCATACTAGTAGAGGGCAAGTGGCAAAGCACTGAATCGTAGGTCATAATATTGTTGGCAGTGGTAAAGAATGTATTTTTCAAGTTTATAACATAATATAGAGAACTGGTCACTACACTTTGGTCATTTGAATGTATAATTAAAAGGCCTGGTTTGTAGTTTTGCCAGCTAAGTTTATCATCTTCAGTTCTGCCTATAAAGCTTGGTGGAGCACCTTAGCTTTTGTTTTTTTTTTTTTTTTTAACTTAACAATTTTGATTTAGGTGCAGGAAGCTGTTTGGAGACTCTGGAAAAAAGAAAGCCCCTTGTAGTGGTTGTAAACGAAAAGTTGATGAACAATCATCAGTTGGAATTGGCAAAGCAGCTACACAAAGACGGGCATCTCTTCTACTGTACCTGCAGGTATACTACAGACTGATAACTTGACCTCTTGCCTTAAATCCTCCCTAGCTATTCTTAACCACCTACCTAACTTGTCTGTCTTTTCAACCTCTTACATTCTCCTGCTTATCAAACATACTTTGATTTTTCTTACCTCTAAAGCCCTCTTATTTGTCCAATGCTGTGAGTGTAATCTGTTACATTTCTTTCTGTGTCTGTGCGTGTTTCATTTCATGTGAATATCTGTGTGTGTACACATGTATGTAAGTTCCATCTGGTGTGCAAGTCTCTGAGAATATAATTTTTTGAGTTATTAGATTTTCATTATTCAAGGAAGGCATTTGCTTAATTTTTATAATTAAGGTTTTGCCTTCAGTAAATCCATTGGGATCCCTAAGTGAAATTTACTCACTCATTAATTAAACTAGACCTAATATGTCATAGGTTATTGTTTTTAAGTTCTTGTGGATACAGTGATAAACGAGGTAAAGCCCCTGCTCTCTTGATACTTATGGTCTAGTAGGGGAACACAGTTAACCGTTCATAAATAAATGATGAAGATAATTTCACATGGTGAAATGTGTTATGAAGAAAATAAGGCAGGGTGTGATATGGTAGCTGGGAGTGAAGATTAATTAGATTGGTCAGGGAAGGCATGACTGAGTATATGACATTTGAGCTGAGACCTAAATGACAAGAGCTAGTCATGTGAAGCTCTAGAGGAAGGAATAGCAGCAACTGCAAAGGTCCTAAGTTAGGAAAGAGCTTGGAGTTTGTTTTGTTTGAGGAACAGGGAAGGTTCAGTGTGGCAGGAGTATGGCGAGCAAGAGAGAAGATAGTATAAGATGAGACTGGGTGGGGATAGCTCACGTAAGAGTTCTGATTTTATTCTGTGTTTAGTGAGAAGCCATTAAAGTATTTTAAGCGAAGGAATTACTATGGTAAGGAGTATTATTTTCTAGAAGTAAATTAAAATTCAACAAGAACTGGTCAACATCACTGTAGGAGGATGAAGAAAATTGCTGGTTGGTTTTCTGTTAATTCTTCTTGAGACACTAGAAGCTTGCCAGAGGGTCAGGTCAGTAATTCCCAATTATTTGTCTTTAAAAGCTATCCTAGTTTGATGTTTTAAAAAGTAAAGACCTTATAGAAGTGTAACAAAATATATTTTTTATGTTATAATAAATTGAAATTAATTTTAAAGTGGAAAACCTTAGAATAAACTGGCTAGAACATAAAACGCTTGTCTTTTAACCTCACTGCGTCTGTCTCTTGGGCACTCAGTAAATACTTGTTCTTTTATTAAATATTGAGCACCTACTGTGTGCCAGGCATTATTCTAGGTACTTGTCATATATTGGTGAACAAAACAGACAATTCTGTTCTCATTGAGAGGAGACGAATTCATTGATTGTTTCAGGAACAATTGGTGTCCTAATCCCTATATGATGGAGGAGAGGAAAGATCAGGGTGGCTGTATAACACAGAAGCCATTATTAAAAGTATTGTGAGTCGGGAGAAGCTAGGTAATAAAAATTATGTAGGCTTCAGATAACGGTCCTTGGGTAGTTGAGATTGTTAGGGGTTAACATTTTTTATTTTTTATTATTTTTAAAGATTTTATTTATTTGACAGAGACACAGCTAGAGAGGGAACACAAGCAGGGGGAGCGGCAGGCAAAGGGAGAAGCAGGCTCCCCGCTGAGCAAGGAGCCCGATGAGGGACTGGATCCCAGGACCCTGGGATCATGACCTGAACTGAAGGCAGGTGCTTAAATGACTGAGCCACCCAGGTGTCCCGGGGTTAACATTTTTTAAAGAAGAATAAACTCCGCCTCCTAACAGGTTTATGCAAGTCAATTTTTCCAGACACTTTTAATGAGTATTTTTATTCTACATGTTAAGTCAGCTTTGATTTTATGTCAGTACATTTAAAAGGAGAATCAGAAAATGTTTTTCTGATTTCAGAAAAACATCCTGATTCCTTACTCAAGTTGAAAAGGAAGCTGTATGGGGCACCTGGGTGGCTCAGTCGTTAAGCGTCTGCCTTTGGCTCAGGTCATGATCCCAGGGCCCTGGGATCGAGCCCCGCATCGGGCTCCCTGCTCGGCGGGAAGCCTGCTTCTTCTCCCACTCCCCCTGCTTGTGTTCCCTCTCTCGCTGTGTCTCTCTCTGTCACATAAATAAATAAAATCTTAAAAAAGGAAGCTGTACAAGTCTCCAATTTCTTTCTTACAGTTTGAGAAGTCTTTTTCTTAATTTCAAAAAAAGTCACATACTTGAATGCTGTAAGAATCAATAATTGGTTGTATTTTCATTTTAGGTACATTATTCCCCCAAATCTAGGCTGGGTAGTTGTATGTCTGTTCTAATTTAAGTGGCTGCTTAAATTTCTGAAGTAATGCTTTTATGTCATGGTTTGGAATCTTCCAACATGCATGGTGATTGTACCTTAATTATATATGAATTTATGATAGTAAATTACTGGCAAAAGAAAGCTATTTCACAATCTTCATGCATGGTCCAGTAGTCTCCCCAGCTTATTGTTCTTGTCTGGCAGCTATTAATTTTGTTTTCATTTATTCTGTTTTCATAAATTAATTTTGCTTCAGTTTATATCTGCCCAGTCCTGAGAAATGTTCAAAAGCCATGTGACCACATCTTTCATGAAATAACATTTCTGTAATATTTGTTGACACCATATACAGTATCTGTTGAATTGGTATTGACAGGTACTACATAGTGCTCTTCATATTGCTTTAATCTTTGTATGTACGGTTGACCCTCGAACAACACAGATTTAAATGACATGGGTTCGCTTATACAAGGAGTTTTTTTCAGTAAATGTGTTTTCCTTATGATTTTCATAATAACATTTTTTCTCTAGCTTATTATTAAGAATACAGTGCATAACATAATGTACAAAATGTGTGTTAATTGACCCTTATGTGACCGGTAAGGCTTCCAGGCAACAGTAGGCTATCTGTAGTTAAGGTGTGGGGGAGTCAGAAGTTATATATGGATTTTCTTTTTTTTAAGATCTTTAAATTTATTTGAGCGAGAGAGAGCATGAATGGGCGGAGAGGGAGACGCAGACTCCCTGCTAAGCAGGGAGCCGGACGTGGGGCTCCATCCCAGGACCCTGAGATCATGACCTGAGCTGAGTCAGACACTTAACCGACTGAGCCACCAGGTGACCCTGGAAGTTGTACATGGATTTTTCAATTGCGCGGATTGTCGGTCCCTTTAACACCAGCTTGTTCAAGGGTCAACTATATACCTAAAATAAAATTATTAAAATTCGCATGTACAGTTTGAGAAGCATCACGATATTCTTGGAAGTTAGATTCAGTCATCAAGTGGGCAGCAGATGAATTACATAATTTTCTCCCTTGTTACCTAATATTTTTCTTCTTTTGTTTTAGCACGCTTCCTGGGCTGTTACAGTCAATGGACTTATCAACACTGAAATGTTTTCCTCCTGGCCAGCCAGAAAAATTTTCTGCATTTTTGGATAAAGTTGTTGGATTACAAAAATAAACACTAAACTCTGAACACTTTAAAAACACCCCCCAAATCCAACCTATGGAATGTGGTTAAATCAAATTAAATATATAGTATATATTTGCAGAATAATATAAATTAATAAACTTATACATCTATAGAATGTATAGAAAATTTTATGGTGTGAATGTTAGCATTTGGGTCCAAATCCTTACCGCAATTTAGTAAATTCAATAGATTTTTACTTTATATTTTAGTTAAAATATGTATGAGAATTCACAGGTTTTAGCCTAGAGTCCCAAAACCTCAAATGTAGTTATTAGTTTGGTGTTCTTTAGAATAAATAAAATGAAGCAGTAACAAATTTGTAAGGCATTTGAGAGTCAGCATCATTAGCTGTACAATATAAGGAACCAATTTTTTAAAAAACAAGCAAAAATGATGAGTTGTGTTCTGTGAAATAAAACGTTCAATAATTACCTTAAAAAGGTTAAGAGTAATTAAAGGTTAACAAGAGTAAATATCAAGTCAGTTGATTATGGTACTTGGAGAAATTACTTTTGTTCTCTTTCCTCTAAAATGCAAATAGAAAATGACAAAATAATCTTGTTCAATATCAAAGTTTCACTGGTTTGAAAAGAGTAAATCAAAAAGGACTTAGGCCAAGAGAACTTGCTGTTATTTTTAAGGGCCCCTTCTCACAGTGGTGTTGAAACATTTATTGTAACATCACAGAGGAATTTATAATTAAAAAATTAGTTTTACAAGCAACTATATGATCAGGTGTATATAATGTATATATTATATACATGTATATAACATATGTATATATACATGTATATAATGGCCTAAATACATGACTTTTAGGTTCATGTTCCTCAAGATACATTATGAAATTCTGATTAGAGTAAGTCTTGATTCTAAGTGTTCATAGTTTTCTGGTAGAAATTTTAGATACAGTTTATAAAAATAGTATACACTATAAAGACATACTTTCCATAATCAAGATTTTGGCTATTCTAGGCATTTTACTTGGGATGCTTTATATAATGTTTCTATAGATTTATTTTCCTGATTGTGTTTTACTTAGGCTAATATTAAAATAAATTCTTACTAATAGTAGAAGGTGGTGGCTGAGGAATACTCTGGGTAGCAGGAGGAAGCCTACTTGGATTAAAATTTTGCTGAGAATAATCTAAAAAGTGAGTAATCTATACGTAGTTGAGAATTCACAGCACCATAATCATAAATGTACATTAATCTTAATGCTAATGTTATATAGGAAAGGCCCTTTCCAAATATTTGGAGAGAATTATCTGGGCTCTTTAATATGTGCTCTAATTTGAGAAAAATTGTGGCTTAAAATGTATTTTGATCACTTGGTTTTTAGTTATGTCATGAAGGACTAACCATAGAGAATCAGAAACAAAGGGTCTACTTAAACATCAGACAACTGTAAAGTAATACGGGACCCCAAATCATCTCTTTTCTTTCCCACAAGAATATATAACCCTGATT